CTCCATATGGGGCCCCGAAGCGTGTGAGGGGGCCGTTACCAAAATGGGTGCGGTGGGCGCATGCGCGCGCTGGCATTTGAGCCTTCGGTGGGGCCCTCTGTGGGGCCACGAAACGTGTGAGGGGTGTGCCAAAATGGATGCGGTGGCTCCGTGCGAACGCTGGCATTTGGGCCTTCGGTGGGGCTCCCTATGGAGCCACGAAACGTGTGAGGGGTGTGCCAAAATGGTTGACTGGTTGGAGGGCAGATTGCCGGATCGGAGAGGAAGGGAGGGAGGAGGCGGGAGGACGGCGGGGAATGAGGAGAGGGCGGGGCGGCTGTCTCTTCAAACGAGGACCCAAAACCAACCATCTAGGAAGGATGGGAAATATTTGTTTCCGTTGCAAAAGGTGGTCTGCTAAAAGTACCCCTTCGCCGGGTTGATGGAGGCGCAACCACTTTTGGTAGGTCTTTTATTCTTTCTTTTTTTTTTTTTTTTTATTTTTTTTATTTTTTTTTTTTTTTTGTTTTTTTTTTTTATTTTTTTTTTTTTTTTTTTTTTTGTTTTTCTTTTTTTTTTTTTTATTCTTTTTTTTTTTTTTTTATACGAGAAGTAGTGCGGTCTCCCCAGGATTGCATTGCACTAGCACGGTGCCAGGCTTGCTTTTTCTGACGCCAGATCTTTCAACCATCACTGCGTGCTTGTTCCTTCCTGTTTATTAGCTGGCGTATTTAAAAAAGTCTCCCAATCTGCCTATGCACGAGCGGATGCCAGAAGAAGGACGCTGATTTTCCCAACATGTGCCAAACGGTATGGATATCTCGCTGTTCATGGGTGCCACAAGATCCGGATGGGGGTTCGAAGTTGGCCCAGCACTCGCTCGTGCCCGCCCCCATCCTCCTCCTCCCCCTCCTCTTCTTCTCCTCCTCCTCTTCTCCTTCTCCTCTTCTCCTTCTCCTCTTTCGTATTCTCCTCTTCCGTGTTCTCATGCATCTCCTCCTCCAGCCTCTTTCTTTTGTGCGGCCCATCGCATTCTTGGCGTATCGTCTCTTGATCCTGGCGTGGGCTTCTTTGACGATTGCCCGTCTGTGGACCGCGTCGTGGCATCCTGCCTCTTTGGCTTCCTGTGCAGGCTGCCGCTCGGCACGCCCCCCTGGCGCAGCAGGAGGGCGTGGCCTCCGGCGCGCCGCAGCGGGCGCTCTGGAACTTCCGCGGCGCCCGACACGCCCTCCAGAGCCGCCGGATCCCAGAGGCCCCGGATCCGTCGGGGGCCTTGACAAAGGGGGTCAGTGCAAGCCCAGACCCCCTCGCGCTGCGAAACAAAATCACGGCGGGAGGTTTTCCGCTACACGTTCTGCCTCCAGGGGCCCTTGCCGGGCCTCTCGGGACCGTCAGAAAACGGCCCAGGATCCTGCAGGGCCTGACTGACCCGGGTTTGCACGGACCCGGGTCAGTGCTCTAGGCCTCCCGGATGGGGCCAGAGTAGATGGGGCTGGAGGATCGCGCCGCATCGCCGATACATCGGCGATGCGGCCCGATGTGAGGCCCGATGTTCTCCACGCCGACGTCGCCGATGCGTCGCCGTCATCGGCGATGCGGTGCAATCTTCCGACCCCATCTACTCGGACCTCATGCAGGATGCCTCTCAGTGACGAACGAACGACACACACACACACCCATACCCATAGGGGGATCCGAAGGAGAAGGCCTGGCTATGGGTATGGGTGCGGGTTGTCGGACCGCGGGGGACGCTCCCGTTCGAGCGGGGGTCCCAATCCAACAACACGCCGCCATAGCCCCCTCCAACCCCCCTATGGGTATGGGTTCGGTGGCAACTCATGGGAGCCTCCCATACCATCTTGTCGGCTATTGCGAATCGACGAACATCGACGCTAGTCGACGCTCACCGACGCTAAATCGACGCTACTCGACGCTAGCCGACGCTAAATCGGCGCTATCTCATCGACTCCCAGGCGCTAAGCGACGCCAATCGACGCTAAAGACGGAGTTAAGAGGATAGACCAGGCTCCCACGATTTGCTTCCGACTGGGTATGGGTGCGTAAACCTACCGTATGGGTATGGGTGCGTGCTGTTCGTTCGTCATCTAAGTGCGTCCCCGACTCTGTTCCCGTCCGATTTTGTCCTGCCCAGTCTTGGCTATCGTCTTATGAGGGGGCGACGTGACGGGGTCGGGAGGGGAGTGCGCCCCCCCGCAGAGCGGGGCGCTTGGTGGGCTGTGGCTCCCGGGCCGAATGCCAGCTGCGTGCGGGCGGTGCTGGCTCGCAGGCGATTTCTCACCCCCAATCCCAGAATCGGCGGCGAGCGAGGGGGTGAACTTCGAGGTTCGAACTTCGAGGTTCGAGGTTATCGGGCGTTTTCGCAGTTTCTTGGCGGTCTTCCGCCCTCGGGGTGCGTTCCAGCGGCTGCGCTTCGCCGAGGGCGTTCCGGGGGTGCCCGGATCGTCCCGAATGGCCGCCAGAGAGCCGAGATATGACCCCCAAACCAGATTCGGCGGCGAGCGAGGGGGGAAAGTGAGAAGGAGAATGCCTCCTCAGAGGGCGGCGGGATTTCTCAGGATCCCTCGCGCCTTCTGAGGAGGTCTTCTGTGTCTTCGGGGAGGGTCTAGAAAACTTCTCAGAAGGCCGGTGGACTCCCGAGCCTTCTGAGAAGGCCCGCCCCTTCTTGTTTCCCCCCCTGTGCTCGCCGCCGAGTGCGGGCGGTGCTGGTTCGCAGGCGATTTCTCACCCCCAATCCCAGATTTGTTCACGAAACATGAAGCCGCTCAGCAAAGGAGGGGAGCTCGGTGATACACCCCCAGGGGGCCATTCGAACGCACCCCTATCGAGGCTGGGCGCTCCCCCATCGTATATCCCCGAGTTGGGTCCAAGATGTTTTGGGTCCGTTCGAAAACCGCACGAAGATAAGGGTGAGGATCGACATATCCCTTATGACTGGTAGCGCAACATGCCCAGGACCTCCTGGAAACTACTGACGGTGTTGGCATGGGCGACGGGCTCGGGATCAAAGAGAGGTCTGGCAAGCGTCGGGGTCCACCGAGTCCCTCCGGATGATGTCCGGGAGGCCCGAGTGCTGGCCTGACCCACGGTGGCCCCGAGGCGGCAGTTCCACGGCTGACGGGTCAGTACCGTGCTCGGGCGGCCCTGGGGGTGCTGGAGCAACTCCCCTGGGGCTCAGCGCTGACCTGATTGGTGTCCTGATCCCGAGTGGGGAAGTGCTGGCGCTCGCGTAGCAGTTCGCACGTGCCACCCATCATGCACTGGTGGCCTTCGCATCGGCATCGCCCAAACATGCTAATACTATGTGTGCGTCTGCACCCCAGGGGTGATGTGTGTGTATGTGTGTGTGTGTGTGTGTGTGCAGAGGGATTTTGCAGTACATGCTCGGTGGCGGGGGCTTCCTGGCCCTACCACTCGGGAACATATCCGTAAGGGCTTCGCCCCCTGCCGCCGGCCACCTCTCTCGGAGAATGGGCCATGGAAGAGCTAAGTCATGAGGCTTTGGCGCTGTCGTGCAGCAGTATCGGAACTTCATGCGAGGCCGATTCGCAATCGGCAAAACCAACTGATCACAAGAGGGGTTACCACACAGGCCGATTGGTAAGACGTGTATGGTTTACGAGCTTGGTTACCACACCTTGGGATTAAAGGGCCGAGGGAGTACTCGCAGTTTGGGTTACCACGCCTTGCGATGGATGTGCGTGAGGGGTGGCACCGAATTTCAGAAATGTGGAAAATCCCATGTGTTTTTGGACCCTGACCCCGCGGATCTGCGTAAGGGGTGGCGCCGAATTTCAGAAATGTGGCAAATCCCCTGTGTTTTTGGAACCTGACCCCGCGGATCTGCGTGAGGGGTGGCACCGAATTTCAGAAATGTGGCAAATCCCATGTGTTTTTGGACCCTGACCCCGCGGATCTGCGTGAGGGGTAGCACCGAATTTCAGAAATGTTGCAAATCCCATGTGTTTTTGGACCCTGACCCCGCGGATCTGCGTGAGGGGTGGCACCGAATTTTGAGAAATGTGGCAAATCCCATGTGTTTTTGGACCCTGACCCCGCGGATCTGCGTGAGGGGTGGCACCGAATTTCAGAAATGTGGCAAATCCCGTGTGTTTTTGGATCCTGACCCCGCGGATCTGCGTGAGGGGTGGCACCGAATTTCAGAAATGTGGCAAATCCCCTGTGTTTTTGGACCCTGACCCCGCGGATCTGCGTGAGGGGTGGCACCGAATTTCAGAAATGTGGCAAATCCCTTGTGTTTTTGGACCCTGACCCCGCGGATCTGCGTGAGAGGTGGCACCGAATTTCAGAAATGTGGCAAATCCCCTGTGTTTTTGGACCCTGACCCCGCGGATCTGCGTGAGGGGTGTTGATTTCGAGCCCCCCCAGCAATTCAGACAACGCGCCCAGGAGACGCTAAAAGTCCCGTTTGGGCCTCCCCCCCCTCGCGCGGTCAATCCACTAGTTACAGTAACCAGCAAGAAAAGAAGCCCCAGAACTTGGTATTTTTTTGTTTTTTTTTTTTGTAATTTGTTTATCTTTTTGTGTGTTCTTTTTTGTTTTTTTGTATTGTTTTGTCTTGTGTTTTCTTTTGTTTGTTTTGCTTGTTTATAGTGTTTTTTGTTTGCTTGTCTCTGGTGTGTTTTGTGTTTTTGTAACCACTGGAAAACTACAAACTACATACTGGTACAGGAAACTGCCGAATCACGGGCTACGCCCTGGTGGCCCACACAAAGGGAGGCCGGCGGGATTATATATATATATATATATATATATATATATATTACCTATACGACCACCCTTCGGGTGAGATCAAGTTTGTGTTGATAACGATGCTGCTAACGCGCCCTCGAGTTAGCGATGACGCGTGTGATGACGATGTTGCGCTGCGATGTATTGTCGCTATCGTCCCCGCTTTCTATTTCAAAACCACTGTCACAATCAACCTCACTGTCGATCTCAGTTTTGATCTCACTATCCATCCATCCCATTCTAGCGATCTCATTACCGATCTCACTATCGACTTCAGGTCGAGACCTAGGCGGGACACCCCCGGCCACCGCCCGCCCACCACCGCCGACGGAACATCGATGGTACTCCAACGGGACGCCAACGGGACACCACAGGACACCACGGCGGGACACCCTGGGCCACCGCGCGCCCACTGGGGGCGGAGCGGAGGGGCGGTCCACTGCATCCGAATCGCCCTAGCGACGGCGGGGTCATTCCTCTCGCGTGCCCACGCAGCTTCGCCTCGCCGGCACACACGACACGAACACGACACCGAAACCGATTTTTCCTGGTGGGGGGCTCTCCGCTCCACTTCTATCTCACCCTCTAACCTCCGACAACATGGTTGTATTGTATGGTCGTGTCGGACGCACGCCTCCAACTCAGACCCCCGATGTCATGTTTTTTTTCATAACGTCGAACCCCAGAGTTCTCGACCCATTCCCCGGGACCGGTTTCTCCTCCTGAGTCGTTTTTTGACGGTCCCGAGGCCCGGTGAGGGCCCCCGGAGGCCGAAAATGACGGAAGACCTTCCGTCGTGATTTCTTCATGGCCCGAGGGTGTCTGGGAAGGAGGACGCATAGCACTCGTCGACTCCCAGGAAAGCATGGGGGGAAGACGAAGACTCAGAAACATTATATGAACACATGGCGACTCTTGGGACCCGTGTCCCTTTCATTTGTGTGCTTTTGGCCCCTCGACGCTCTCCTTGCTTGCTTGCTTGGCCCCTCGACGCTCTCCCTGCCTTGGGCCAGGAGCACCGCCGCCCTGCTTCGCGCGGCCCCCGCTTCGCCCGGCCTCGGCGTGGGCCTCGCTGGGCCGCTGGGAGGCGTCCTCCTCCTCCTCCTCCTCCTCCTCCTCCTCCTCCTCCTCCTCCTCCTCCTCCTCCCCTCGGAGGCCTGGCTCGGCAGCTCGACGGGTCACGCCCTCGGAGGAGGCAGAAGGCACCCGTGCCGCTCACCCCCTCCCCCCCTGAGCGATCCTGGCGCTGCAATTTCTTTTTTTCGAGCCAGGCTTTGCCGCCCGGTCTCGTGCCCCGGGGCCCTCATGGATCGATCGGGCTCGGAGAACGGCGCGGAAAGACGGGGCCCTGGGCTCCGGTCGTGACTTCTTGCGACGTGGCACTTTTTTTCTCGCAATGTCGGATGTCGGGGCCCCTCGTGTTCCTCTTGTTTGTTCGGGCTCCTGGGAGGCCCTCGTCGCCACCGCTGGATTCGCCTCGAACTCCTGGTCAGGACGTTCCCGGGGAGAAGTCCGGGAAGTAGCGGCATCGGTAATTACCTTGTGGTTTCCCCACGCTCGCGCGGAGGTCCGGAGCCCCCTGGCGCTGGTGCCCTCGGCGTCGGCTCGGTAGGATCGAGACGGGTACGGAAACGAGGGGTGCGAAGACCGGGAGCAGTTCCTGACCATTTCGAGCAGGAGTCGCTGTCGGTGTCGCCGCGGACGTTGTCGGTTCGAGATAAAGGGCTGCTGGGCCAACAGCGGCCGCTGTCGGCTTTCGACAGCATTTGCTGCTGGGCATCGTGCCTTTTTTGCCCGTGCCCAGTGGGGCGTCCGCTGCGGAGCTCCAGGGCCTCCCGCGCTGGTGCCCTCGGCGTCTGCGCGCAGGTGGGCGCCGGCGTCGATGGGCGCGGTGTTTTCTCCATCCGCCAGCCTGGGCGCCGTCTGCGGCCGCGACCGCCACGGCGTCGTCCTCCGGGATGGGCCTCCTCGGCTCGATGGTCCTCGGGGCGTCCGTCGGCCCAGCGTGTAGGTTGCCCCGGCCAGCCCCACCAGTAGCACGCAGCCTCGTGGCACCGCCCGCGTCATGATGAAGGGCTTCGGTGGACAGGCGCACCGTGGCTGAGGATCGTCGATCAGCGCCCTTGGAGCGGGCGGTGGCAGTCTGCCATCTCTCGGTCACCCTGTGCTTCGGAGTCTCTGCAGTGCAGCTTCCTCGTCCTGGAGGGTCTGCGCCTTTGTCGCCAGCACCTGGGCCTTCCTGCGGGCCAGCCGTGGCTTCTCAGTGAGCTTCGTGCTCGCTTCGTGCAGGGATGGAGCCGCGACGCCGCTCCCCCCGTCCTGATCTGTCGCTTGTCGGAGCTTGGGGCGCACTGCCACTTCGGCGTAGCTTGAAGGCACCTGGACCACCCTGTGAGACCACAGTTCGTTGATCTGCGCCTGCAGCTTGGTCGCCACTTCCGCTTGCTCCCGCAGCTACTTGCGGTAGTGATCCAGGCGCTGGGCAGCATGATCTACAATCTACACTTGGCTGGTCCTCCAGTGAGGAACTGTTGGCCGTACTCGCGGCACCTTTGCCATTCGCCTCGCCCTTGGCCCGGACTTCGGCAATCGTTGATTCCACCACCCGTGGTAGGTTTTGGGCTTCTCCCAGCAGTCATCGGTGCTGAAGTCAGGGGCGCTTCCACGGTGTGCTCGGGTGACCAGTGCATTTGCCAAGGTTGCACCACACTGCAACTCGAGAAAGTTCTGGCAACTGAGCCTCGCTCGAATCGGGCAACATTGGTTTGAGGAAACGGAGGAGGATGTTGACGAGGAGTAGGAGGGGGATGATGATAATGGTGAGGATGGGTAAGATGATGAGGAGGATGACGAGGAGTACTCTCCACTCGTTTAAATTAGATATCAGATTGCGACCTAGTTTAGCCGAGATCTATTTTTACCGAGTCTAGTTTTACCGAGCCGGGACTCGAATACTCAACACAACGTTCTGTATGTCTGGGGTCAGACCCGGGTCAGTCCGGGGTCACTCCAGGGTCAGTCCGAAGTCGGTCCGGGGTCAGTTAGGGGTAGGTCGGTCCGGGGTCAGTCCCGGGTCGGTCGGGGGTCAGTCCGGGGTCAGTCCGGGGTCAGTCCGGGGTCAGTCCGGGGTCAGTCCGGGGCCAGTCCGGGAGCACCCGTATGTGGGAGCGCCCGAATGGAAAGGAGAGCGGAGAGTATTTGAATGCATGGGAAATGAAAATGCAAGCGGGCCGATCTAGTTTTCGGAATTACAGAAGTCGGGGACCGAAACTTCCGATCTAGTTTAGCCGAGACCTAGTTTCACCGATTCTATTTTTAACGAGCGGAGTGTAGGAGTAGTTGGAGGAAGAGGAGGACAATTACGCACTTGTATAATCTTCTGGGCGTCGAGCACTCGTGGATCCTGGTGTAGCCTCGATCCCGCAAGAGAGGAAGCTGCAAGGTCAGCATGCTCATTGCCTGTACCGCGTGACTGCACCTTGCTTGAGCCGAGCGTTTCCACGACCCACCGTTTGAGCTGGGCACTGCAGTATGCATGCCCCAACCTGCCGAGGCCGCACTCTCTCTCTCTCTCTCTCCCTCTTCCATCCCTCTCCGTCGGCGATGTTGGATGTGACGGTCAATACATGCCGTGGGGGCAGGGTGGGCGTCGCGCAGCAGCGCTCTGGGCCATGATTGATCAGTGGGGCTCCAGGCCTGCTCCGGGGCGTCGTCGTCGTCGTCGTTGAGATTCTCCCGCCGTCCTCTCGCAAAGTCTAACCCAGCGGCAGCACACTGGCTGTTCGCTGTCTCTCCGGAGTTTTCGCTAAACAGCTTACCCGTAAGAGCCCCGCACCACGCTTCTTCGGTAGCCAATCATGGGGAGCCAGGCGTGTCCTCTTAGTTCCGTCCTCAGCGTCGATTAGCGTCTGGGAGTCGATGAGATAGCGCCAATTTGGCGTCGGTTGGCGCCGATCAGCGTCGATGTAGCGTCGATGAGCGCCGACCAGCGTCGATTGGCGTCGACAAGCGCAAGAGCCGACGAGATGGCATGGGAGGCTCCCACGAGTTGCCCCCGAACGTTTCTCAAGCCGCGTGTGAGCTCCTCCCGATCGCCCGTGGATCGCCCGCAGGGGCTCCCGCACGGTCTCCCGTCTGGCCTCCCGTACGGTCTCTCTTGCGTGGTCTCCCGGCTCGTCTCCCGCGTGGCCTCCCGTCGGATGGTCTCCCGAGCGGTCCCCTGTCGGGGGTGGACAGAATTGTCCGTGTTCGGTTCTCGAAAGGGAGCCGTGGACGCTTTACTAAAGAGGGGTCTGTCCATCCCCGATCCTGTCGGGTCTCCCGTCTGGTCTTCTGCATGGCCCGAAGGAGAACAAACGCCACACGGCATAGACTTTTGGCGCTCCGCGTGGACTTCTTGGATCCGCGCTGGGCCCCCCCGGCGGCGCCTCCGGCGCCGCCCCTGGCGCGCTCCGCGCGCCAGGGAGGGGGGTCCAGCGCAGATCCAAGAAGTCCACGCGAAGCGCCAAACAGTTTATGCTTATGCCGTTTCTTCTTCTTCTAGTATGGTCGCCCGTGTGGTCTCCCGTCTGGCCTGCCGTGTATGGCCTTCCGCACGGTCTCCTGCATGGAGTCTCCCGTATACGGTCCCGGGTTTGGCGCAGGCTTTCCCGTGTGGCCTCCCGCGCACGCGCAGCACAGCAGGGTGCTCCTCGTTTGCTTGCTCATGCTGCTCAGGGTCTGCTGGCGCCAGGGTGCCATCCCGTACAGTCGACGCTCGCAGCCCGGGCGCGCGGCTGGCCTCAGGTTACCCCTCGCGTCCTGGCCTCTGCGCCCCGTCCCTCGCCGTCTGCACCGGCCAGCCCCCTCGAGAGTGCTGGCAGCCCGCCGCCCCCCCAGAGTGCCAACGACGGCGCCCAAGGCCCTTTGCGTCCTCACCGCCCGGCCTTCTGCTAGATTCAGACGGTGGTCGTCACCCCAGTCATCGCTCCTCGTGTGTCTTTCTCACCACCCACCAAATCACCCCAACCCAACCCGAAGAAGGCTCATATTTACCCTCGATTTCCAGTGGAGGGGGGTCGGGAAACATCTAAAAAACACATGTGGAACCCTTACCCCCCCAAACCCGAAATTCGGGTCTTCGGGTTGGGTTGGGGTGGTCTGGTAGGTAGTCACTTTCCCCCCTGTCTCGGCAGCGCGCCTGAAGGGAAGAGGCAGAAGGGGCGGGCCTCCTGGGTAGGCTCCGAAGGCCACCGGCCTTCTGGGAAGCTTTCCAGGCCGCCTCCGAGGCCACGGAGGACTCCTCAGAAAGGCGGAGGGTTTCCGAGGTGACCCGCCACCTTCTGAGAAAGCCTGCCCCTCTCACTTGGTGCAGCTCCTGGGATGCGAAATTCAGCATCTGCGCTGGTGTATCTGGGGCAGGAAATTGGCATGATCTGGAATTATCGTTTTGAATCTGGCTTAAACCCGCTTGATCCGATTCAATCCTGGGCTGAATCCCTGGCTTGATCTGGCCGGATCTGGCTGAACGGCCCCTTCATCGGGTCTCATAGCCTTTTACTCGTTCTTGCGAAGACCTTCCATGAGTTGCTTTCTAATACTTCCCCCCTCGGCGCGCTCCCCGATCTTCCCCTTTGCAGCCACTTGCGAACCCTACCCCAGATCCTCTCGACGCTGGGGTACTGGACACCCCTGCTGGAGTTCGTTTCGCAGTAGGCATCCGTCGAATTCTGAACCCCAGCTGTTTTTTTCAGAAATCCGAGCTGCATCGAGGGAATCATCTCATCGACGCCGATCTTGGTCATTTTCTATGCCGGCCGTCGTCGATTCGCGATTATGATCGACGAAGTGACGCTGACCAAGATTGACGGTGACCAAGATCGACACAACGTTTCCGCGTTCAGTCTTGGTCCTCGACATCGCTCGGACGTGTGCATTTTTGCTCGGCGAGGACCATCGAAGAGCATCCTGGATCATCGAGCAAATCCAAGCGCGCACGAAACCGCAGCAGGCACGGGGAATGGGCGTCCGAGTGACGGCAAGTGGTTATGATTCCCGTTTTCTCCCCCCCCCCGCTGCAGGGGTAGGGTCAACGTGTGGCCGTTTACGTCTTAGGTTGCAGCTCCAGGGAGGTTAGATTCAGGATCGGCCCTGATCCGTGGCTGAAAACTGGTCTAATCCGGCATCGGCCCGCTTCATCCCGCTGCATCCCGCTCATTCTGGCTTGTTCCGGCTTAGCCTGGCTGAAGTCCCAAGCTTAATCTGGCTAAATCCGGCCTTGTGGCACCCAAGCCGGCCAGGTTCAATAGCCTTTCGTCGATTTTACGAAGATCTCCCAGGAGTTGCCTCTCAAGATGGGGTTCACATGTGGCCGCCTAGCCAGGCACAGCCCACCTTGGCATCCGCTGATAAGCCCCTTGTCCCCTCAGCCCCACCCGCGCCCATCCCAGCAATCCCGCAGTCTTTTGCATGCATTTGTCGGCAGTGCGGTGCGTTCACGTTTGGAGAACGCCTCGCTGAGCTTGGCGATCAGTGCAAGCTTCTCACTCATCCTCGCAAGTGCCAGACTTGGAGGAGGCTCGGGACGGGGCTCCACCCGAATAAGGCTGGGGTTTTTCTCCTCTCTCTCTCTCTCGAGCGCTTCTCTTGCTGCCAAGTATGCTTGTGGGCCCGCCAAAACATCCCGGCATCAAAGGGACCGGTACACGGGGGGGAAACATCGGCCTGGAATCGGCGATGCATCGCCGATAGCTCGGCGCCGATAGCTCGGCGGTGGATCCCCGGGGCGGGGCGGGGCTCTCGGGCCCCTGTCGGCGATCGTTGTCGGAGCCTGGAGCATCTGCACGACCAGCGGCGCGCCGTGTCTTAGTCCCGGTGCTCCTTGGAGGCTCGGGGACGGCGTCGGGGTAGTGCGGTGTGCACTTTGCTCCGCTTCCCGGGGGAAGAACGAAACTTGTACTTGGCATCGCTCGGACGTGTGCATTTTTCCTTCGGCTAGGACCATCGAGGAGCATCCTTGATCATTTGGCGAAAAAGCCACCCATGAAACCTAACAAAAACACAGGGAATGGACGTCCGAGCGATGGCCAGTGTATGCACCAGGATCCTGTGTACACCAGGATCCGTTCTCCTGTGCAGGTGTCAGCGCAGGGCCAGAAAACGCGTCGGTGTACACAGTTTGTTTCCCTACATTGGTCGATTGGGGGTCGATGCGTTCCCCCTGTGACTATTCCACCACCTCCGCCCCTCAGCACCCTGCCTTACACTGCATCTTCGGGGGGCCTCGCCTGTCCCCAGACTTGTTGTCGTCTCTTGTGCCCGACGCGGGCCCGATGCGGACTCGACGCGGATCTGGCGTGGATTTCGACGCGGACTCGACGCGGATCCGACGCGGACCCGACGAGGCCGACATGGCTTCAACACGGATCCGACTCGCGGGCAGGGCCGCGACGGGACCGACAGGGCCCCCCGAGGATGCAGCCCGACACCCTGCCGCCCCCTGGGGCCTCCGGGGGGCCCGCGGGCGGGCGAGGAGGGGGCGGCTCTCCGCCGCGGGCCGCGGGCCGCGCGGGCCGCGGCGGCGCGCCCCGCGGCCCTCGGGGAGGGACCACGCCCGCTCCTGGCGCTCGGCCTCTCCGCCCCCCTCCCCCTCCCTCCCCCCCCCCCCCCTCCAGATCTCCTCGCGTGCTGTGAGCCCACCAGGGCGGAGGGCGTTTCGCTGCTCTCGGGCCTCCGGGGGGCCCTCACGGGGCCTCGGGGCCGCGGAGGCGGCTCGGGTCGAGGAGCCCCGTCCTGGGGAAGGAAGGGGTCGAGGCCTCTGGGGGTCGACGCTGCGAAGAAGTCTTGGCGCCGGGCCCTGCGGATCTGGCGGGTGCCCGCGGGCTCGGACGGCCCGCCCGCGAGCGCCCTGCACCGCCTCAGCTGGCCGCCGCCCCTGAAGCTCAGAGCGGGCTCGGGGGCCTCCCTGGGCTCGCTGGGGGGGCAGCCTGGCCACGCGGGCGGCGGGCGAGCAGGCGTCCCCCCCCCCCTCACAGCGCAGAGCTCCGACGAGGCCGCGGGCGATGGCGGCCGCTCTGGCCAGTTCCTGGAGGCTCTCCTGGCCCAGGATGCGTTCCAGCAGCTGCGCCACGCCGAGAGCGTTTCAGGGGTGCCCCCATCGTCCCGAGCGGCCGCTGGAGGCCCAAGTCTTGGCCCGACGACTATTTCGGCCCAGCCAGACGACATATTTCGGCGTTTTTCTTCGATTTCGGTCTTGCGGGGCTCGTTATGCTGCTATCGGGCCCTGGGGCCATCATACATGCATCCCGTACGAAAGGCTACCCCCAGGGAAGGAGTCGGAACCTCTGGGGCCGCGGGATGTGAAGAACATCTGGGAGAATGTCTGGGGAACTCAAATTTCGGCGGCGCGCCCAGGGGTGAAGCGAGAAGCAGCGGGCCTCCTCAGAAGGCTCAGAAGGCTCCCAGCACTCTGAGAAGTTCTCGAAGCCTTGGCGGCGACGGACCGTGCGGTGAGGTCTTGGGGGACTTCGAGGTCACCGCACGGGCTGTCACCGCACCGCTTCGGGAATCCAAACAGGGGGGGGGGTGGCCCAAGATGGGGGGTGGAGAAAAGGGCCCCAAAGGTGGCCCTTCGGGGCCCCGCTTGGAGCCAGCGAGGGGCCCAAGAGGGGCCCTCCAAAAGTGCCCCTTTGGAGCCCTTCCTCGTCACCGCCCGGTGAGGCCCCCCCCAGCACCGCCCCGCCCGAGTCGAGGCATCCCAAGCCCTCGATCTTCGGCCCTCCCCTGGGATCCAGTGTCGCAGGCATTGGGTAGGGGATCGACTGCAGAAAAGATGTGACCCCCAAGCCTGATTTTTTTCCGTCGGCACTGCGATGAAATCGGGCCCGTCCCTCTACAGGAGGAATCTTCAAAAGTGGTAGAAGTAGCCTGGGGACGATTTCTCTTTTACTTTTGATTATTGTAACACTACGAGAAATGCGTAGAAGGTTAAGTGGATCTACGGGGCATTCTGCGCCTTGCACGTAGATTCCGCGGAAAGGAAAGATGAATTTCGGGGTAGATCAATTCTGTGGTCGATCCCCCATTCGAGAACAGAGACGCAGCATCGTGAGAACCCCCGACTGGAGCCCTCGGCCCCGTCTTTCTGCGGTATCTCTCGCGCTGCATCGATCCGTGATGGTCCCGGGGCCCGAAGTGGGGCGAGAACTCGCGGAGTGAGAACGTCGCAATGCGCCGGTCTCAGGGCGGACTTTCGATCCTGGACCCTCCCCGATCCTCGTCGCCGTCGTCGTCGTCGTCGCAGCCAAAAACGAAGCAGCCAACTTTCTGTTCGGATGAGCCCCGTCGTCGTGGCGGCACGCCCAGCCCTCAGCCCTCAGCGCCTGAGGGTGCACCGTGCCCGCATTCACACGGCATTGTCGTGAGGTGTTCTCCCTGGCGGCGGGCTCCAGCTGCATGGTTCTCTAAGCCACCACGGCGAGTGCAGGCGCTCTGTATGCAACTGCCGTGCTTGACATGTCATAGGCCCCCTGCTGTGGGAGTGCCTGCGGGGGCGGGAGGTGGCGGAGGGCCTGCGCAAGACGCTCGAGAACAGCCCGGACTTCGACCTGAGCGCTGGGCAGCGGCAGGCGTTTTTTTCGCTCATCGCTCCCCCCCTGCTTTTTTTGCCGTTTCTTCGTCGGAGAAGGAGGAGGGAGTTGGAGGAGGAGGGGAGGAGGAGGAGGAGGAAGGGGAGGAGGAGGAGGAGAAATAGGAGGAGGAGGAGGAGGAGGAGGAGGAGGAGGAGGAGGAGGAGGAGGAGGAGGAGGAGGAGGAGGAGGAGGAGGAGGAGGAGGGGGGGAGGGAGGGGCAAAAGTCTATTCGAGGCTGGGGCCAAGAGAGCTGTTGCGAGGCACCTGACAGTTGGACCCCACGGAGCTGGACGACCTGGACTTTCAGATTACGGTCGCCAACTCAGTTTTGACCCTTAGTGCTTCCCTCCTTCCTCTGTTGCCTCGTGTGGAGTTCCTTGAAGAGGAGCGTGTTCCTCCTTCTCCTGCCCCCCTGGCTCCCCATGTGCATCACCCATGGGAGGCTATGAGTGAGGAGGAGGAGGAAGAGGAGGAGGAGGAGGAGGAGGAGGATGAGGAGGAGGATAAAGTGGAGCCAGTAGAGCAGGAGGATCTGGACCTCCGCGATGGGAGGGGGCGCCCGCCGCGCCAGACGCTGCACGCCTTCATGCGCGCCGCCAACGCCAAGGCGCACCACCAGGGGGACGCGGCAGACTTCCTGCAGGTCCTCAGCCCCTCGTCGTGCCCGCGGGCTGGCTGGCAGTTCCCCTCCGCTCGCCACCCAAGAATCGGGTGTTGCCAGCAGTGGCTCTGGCCTGAGGTGACCCCAGTTGTCCCAGGGAGGCGCAGGTGGAGCCCATAGCACCACTCACGAGGCCCAGAGGGCCCAGCTGCTCCAGAGTGGCGGGACAAAGCTGGGGGGCATCCATCTCGCCAGGACTTCCTTAGCGAGACCCGCAAGCAGCTCGGTTCCCCGCAGGTGAACACGGCGTCGGCCGCACTTTGCGCCTCGCGGCCCGGGCTGCAGGAGCTGCCCTTCTCCGCGGGGGAGGCGCGAGGGCGCGAGGACGATCGCGCGATGCACCACGTCAGGCAAGTGCCTCTCTTCCCTGAGAGCGGCCCCGCAACGAGAGGACATGGCCATGGCCAGGCATGCCACGCGCGCGTGGGCCGCGCCGCTGACTGACGCGCGCGGGTCGCCGACGGTGCGACTGGGGCAGCGCTGGCCGGGCTGCTTCTGGCCGGCTGGGCCGGGGGCGGGGCAACTGCCCAGAGCCCCTCGCGTCGTGAAACGTTGTTTCGCCATCTCCTAGATCGAAGACGCCCACGTCGAATCGCCGCCTCCCCCTGTCTTTTTGGAACCGCCTATGTGGCCGAACGTTGTGGCCATGGCTCGGCCAATCTGCCGGACTATTCGTCCCCCCAGCCGCTGTGGAAACCCTTCGGGGAACACATGGGGGACAAATAGTCCGACTAAGACGACGAATAGTAATGATGCTAATACTGCAATAAGACTTTGAATGCTGCTACTCACAACAGTACTAGTATAATTCATGATAGTGACACAACTAATAACTGCTCTACCTCTTACACATAAAGCATCCTAGTATCACCTCTCATATGAACACGATTAAGGCATACACGTATGCTAATACGAACACATATCATGCTAATAGTATTATTTAACAATAAAGCCAAGGCTAATACGAATAGTAATGTGAGTACGCGTAGTATTGTCATCATTATTCCCCATATACAAAGGATGGGGTTCTTGTTATTGCTCTGACCAGGCCGACTCCTTCAGGTCCCCTCCTCCCCTCCTCCTTCTCTTCCCCATCCCACTCAACATATGATGATTATGGTTATGATGCCGATGGTGCTGATGGTGATGATGCTGATGGTGCTGTTGGTGCTGTTGATGATGATGATGCTGCTGATGATGATGACGATGACGGAAGGTGGTGATGATGCTGATTTTGACGATAATGATGATGAGCAGATGCTGATGATGATGATGATGATGATGATGACCAAAGGGGGCCAGATTTTGAGGATGTCTCGAGCGGTTTGCTAGCTTCAGCACTCCTAAGGGGGGGCCGCCTGGGGTATCTCACGGCCTCCGTTCGCGCCCAGATTGCGGGGATGTCTCAGGCGGTTTGCCTGTTTCGGTGCCCCAGCATCCTTCGCTTTCGGGGCAGATTCTGAAGATATCTCGAGCGGTTTGCTGGTTTCAGCACTCCTAAGGTGGGGCCGCCCGGGTTATCTCACGGCCCCCGTTCGCGCCCAGATTGCGGGGATGTCTCATGAGGTTTGCCTGTTTGTATTGTTGTATCGCATGGTATGGTATGATATGCAATGCTATGTTATGATATGACCTGCTATGCCATGCACTTGTATGTTGTGTTACGTTATGCCTTGCCAAGTTCTGGTATGGTGATGCTGATGGTGGTTATGCTGATGATGATGCTGATGCTGACGATGCTTGTGATGCTGATGTTGATGCTGCTGATGCTGATGGTGCTTGCTGATTCGGATGATACTGATGAGGATGATGATGATGATGCTGCTGCTGCTGCTGATGATGCTTATGATGATTATGCTGATGCTGATGGTGCTGCTGATGCTGATGCTGATGATGCTGGTGGTGCTGATGATGATGCTGCTGCTGCTGCGGCTGCTGCTGATGACGATGATGATGCTGATGATGCTGCCGGCGGTGCAAATTCTGAGGATGCCTCGAGCGAGGCGCGGGTTTCAGCACCCCCAAGGGGGAGCAGCCAGGGGGTATCTCACTCCTTCGTCGCGTCAGCATGGCGGGGATGTCTCGAGCGGCTTGCCTGTTTCAAGACCGACCATCACCCGCTTTCGGAGCAGATTTGGTGGACGTCTCGAGCGAGACACTCATTTTCGCCCCCCCAAGGGTGGCCAGATGTTGAGGATGCTTTGAGCGGTTTGCTTATTTTGTTGGCCAGACTCGTGGGCAAGGCTCCCCTTCAGGATGCCGCAGAAGGCTCCAGCAGGCTCCAGCAGGCCCTTGGAGGCTCCAGGATGCCACAGGAGGTGCCAGGAGGTACCAGGATGCCACAGGAGGCCCCAAGAGGCCCCAGGAGGCTCCAGGAGGCCACAGGAGGCACCAGGCGGCCACATAAGGCCCGAGGAGGCTTCAGGAGGTTACATGAAGCACCACAAGGCACCAGGAGGCTTCAAGAGGCGCCAGGAGGCACCAGGAAGCCCCAGGAGGTTTCAGGTGGCCCCAGGAGTCCCCAGGCTCATGCGCAGAGACGCGCTCGCATTACTGAAGCTCATTCACGCTCCAACTCATTCACAGTCCGATTCGCTCCCAGACCGTCGATACCCAAGCCCGCTTCTAGTAGACAAATCTCGCGCCTAGACGCTGACGGCGGACATATCCATGCTAATTGATGCACGTATGGGGAACTCCGCGCAGTGGATATATTTCAGCACTAGCCGCAGAAGTATGAGTGGTACCACTATTCTTAGCATTTGTAGTATTATTTCATTCGTACTGCTAATCCCCAATTTTATCATCATTGGCTTGCGTATCAATTTATTGCGTTCTTAGCACTACTAGTAGTCATGCTAACCACCGCATTCGTATTATTATGGCTCACACTAGCAATACTTCTAACATAACCATTACCAATCGTACTGCTGACAATATGATATGCAACATGCAAATAATGTGGATCACACTAAAACTCGTATTGCGATTCATTTTATTATTCATATGCACAATACTACTGCTAATTCCCAGTCCTCCCTGGGTTGGGTTCTCGTTTTGAATAGGGCACTGTGGTCTCCACCTCTCCGCCTCCCCCTCCTCCCGCCTCACCCCTTCTCCCTCCTCTTCCTCTCTCCTTCCGCCTGCCTTCTGCCTCCTGCCTCGTGTCCACGGTCTGCGAAACTGTTCGGGCGGCGGTCTGCGAAACCGTCGCCACGTTCGTGGGCTCCTGGGAGGTCCAGCGGAGGGGTGTCCCACGGGGACCACCATGAGACCTTTCATGGGCTCCTGGAGGTCCAGCGAACGGGTGTCCCACCGGGGCCACCATGAGACCTCGCCGTCCCTGGGGGCTGCGATCTGCGAAACTGTAGCCACTTTCGTTGGCTTCTGGGGGGTCCAGCGGGGGGGAATCCAACGGGAACCACCATGAGACCTCGCCGTCCCTGGGGGCTGAGATCTGCGAAATTGTCGCCACTTTCGTTGGCTCCTTGGAGGTCCAGCGAACGGGTGTCCCACGGGAACCACCATGACTCGCCGTCCTTGGGGGGCTGAGATCTGCGAAATTGTCGCCATTTTCGTGTGCTCCTGGGGTGTCCAGCGGAAGGGGTTCCCACGGGGACCACCATGAGACCTCGCCGTTCCTGGGGGGCTGAGATCTGCGAAACTGTCGCCCCCTTCGTTGGTTCCTGGGAGGTCCAGCGTTTGGGTGTCCCACGGGGACCACCATGAAACCTCGCAGTCCTTTGGGGGCTGCAGCCTGCGAAACTGTCGCCACTTTCGTGGGCTCCTGGGGGGTCCAGCGGAAGGGGTGCCCCACGGGGTCCACCATGAGTCCTCGCCGCCGTCCTTGGGGGGCTGCGATCTGCGAAGCTGTCGCCGTTCGCCGGTTCCTGGGGGGTCCAGCGGGGGGTGTTCCACGGAGACCACCATGAGACCTCGCCGTCCCTGGGGGGCTGGGATCTGCGAATTTTTCGCCACTTTCGTTGGTTCCTGGGACGTCCACCGGAGGGGAATCCCACGGGGACCACCATGCGACCTCGCCGTCCCTGGGGGGCTGCGATCTGCGGAACTGTCGCCACGTTCGTTGGCCCCCAGGAGGTCCAGCGAACGGGTGCCCCACCGGGGACCACCATGCGACTTCGCCGTCCATGGGGGGCTGCGATCTGCGAAACTGTAGCCATTTTCGTTGGCTCCTGGGGGGTCCAGCGGGGGGGAATCCAACGGGAACCACCATGAGACCTCGCCGTCCATGGGGGGTTGAGATCAGCGACATTGTCGCCACTTTCGTGGGCTCCTGGGAGGTCCAGCGGAGGGGTGTCTCACCATGAGGCATCGCCGTCCTTGAGGGGCTGAGATCTGCGCAACTGTTGCCACTCTCGTGTGCTCCTGGGGAGGTCCAGCGGGGGGTGCTCATTGGGACCACCATGAGTCACCATGAGACCTCGCCGTCCTTGGGGGGCTGAGATCTGCGAAGCTGTTGCCACTTTCGTGGGGTCCTGGGAGGGCCAGCAGAGTGACGTCATACGTAGATCAGACCGTGATCTCGCCGTCCCTGGGGGTCTGCGGTCTGCGAAACAGTCGCCAGCTTGGTGCGAAGCAGTGTCCACCTTGGTGGCGCTGTACTGTCATAGCGTGCATGGCGTTGTGCTGCAATGGGAACCTAGCGCAATGCGCTGTTACTCCCACGAGGCATGTTTCCAGTTCCCGCTCATCAGTATGTTCCCCCCCTCGTGGTCGTTTTTTTGCCAACGACCTGACTCTTAAGAGTGATGTCGTGAATGTGAAATATTTGACTATGGCCCAACGTTCTTTGGCGAAGCGTTGAAGAGCACGGCGAGTCCTTCATTGTTTGCTTTTGTATTGTGCGGTCCGATGTATAGTCGCCTCATGTGTACAAGGGGTTGGGTACGTCCCCTGGGTAGCACTAACAATCACAATGATGAGGCGAATACCCACAATCATAACCACAATCATCGTAATAA